TATAATACAAATAATAGAAATATTTTTATTATACTGATTAATAGCATAATATAAGTAATAAAATAATAATTTGCATTACATTTTTAATATATATTTATATTTAATATTAACATTCATTATCAAATTTATTATTAATTGTAATAGTAAAAAAAACATGTAGGTAAACAGAGGAATGTATTGAGAACGAGATGATGAAGTAGCTCAGTGACAGATTAGCTGCCTATTAAGAAGATCCTAAATCCTGATCGCGAGAACGCCGTTTTTCCCCTCTGCTGAAGAGCATAATAATAAATGTTGACGTATTATTATGCCCTACACATAATATCTAACTTGTGAGATATTTACATTAAATTTAAATTTTAAATTCCATGATATTATTTTACGCTAGTATATATTTCTAGACAATTTCTATAAAATACGCAACTTATTATTTTTAACAAGTTTATTTATATTAATGTAACTACAATTACGCTAAATAAACAAAAATTTTATCATAAAGAACAAATGCAGTACATTTTTCACTAATATAATTTATTTAACATAATTTATTTATTAGATAGATAATATTTAAATAATATATAATATAATTAATAATAATAACGATTAATAATATATAATATAATAATATATAATAATATATAAAATAATAAATTACTTAGTATAGAGTACAAGATCGCTTCTTAGTTAAGTTTACAGGTTTTTTTTGTTTTTATTATTATTTAATATTTTGATTATATACTTGTGAGATATTTACATTAAATTTAAATTTTAAATTCCATGATATTATTTTACGCTAGTATATATTTCTAGACAATTTCTATAAAATACGCAACTTATTATTTTTAACAAGTTTATTTATATTAATGTAACTACAATTACGCTAAATAAACAAAAATTTTATCATAAAGAACAAATGCAGTACATTTTTCACTAATATAATTTATTTAACATAATTTATTTATTAGATAGATAATATTTAAATAATATATAATATAATTAATAATAATAACGATTAATAATATATAATATAATAATATATAATAATATATAAAATAATAAAATTTTAAATATATATAAAATTTAGTTTTTTATATTTTTCAGAATTTTGTAAAAGTTTGTTTTTAAACATTGATTGATGGATAAGTAAATATAAATATTTGCAGATAATTGCACGGTAGATGATTAAATGTAATTAAAACATCGTTATACCGTTTCCATAATTAATTATATTTCTATTTTGACGATGGAATTTCCATAAGTACTTCTCTATATAAATTCTCTACTCATTACTCGCGTCGCTAAGTTATCATCATCAGTTACCGTCGTTATATAAGCTTGATCTCTTGTAGAGCTACCATTTAAATTCTTTTATCGTACAGAATAATTGCCTTCGTAGAAATAATTCCTTGATTTGTAGGCACTGCTTTGCATATCATTTAGCTACCCTACGTCGCTGATCTTACCCGCCGTCGTAAGTTATCATTACTAACCCTTTATACCTTTTTCTCATAAAATTACCGCGAAAGTCATCACCGACACATCTTCCGAATAGAATATCGCGAATCTTTCACTCGTCCGGTTTTTGCGTCGCCCCCGCCATAAAATACTTTGTCGAGTCATAATGACGACGAAAAATCCTAGCGAGCTCCATCTCCACTTTACGGAGATTACTCCGCCCTTCTCACGAAGAAAGGCGAGGAAACGTTCCATCCTAGAGCGAGGTCCGGCGCGTCGGACAATTAAATCTTTTTAATCGCTCAGCGTAATTGCCGCGGATTAGAGATGCCGTCCATCCACTGACGGGCTGCGGTCCTTGATTATCGCCGATGGTCAGAGAAAATAACAGTGAGCTAAAGAGAGACCAAGAGACGGGCAAATATCGAAGAGAACGGAGGAGGGGAAGAAGGGGGGGGGGATCCATTTTCTTGCTCATCGAGAGAAGCCGCCGGTGGTGGACCGGATCGGTGTTCGGCATCCGAAGTGCGTTTTAACGGAGGGGAACACTTAGAGGAATACGTCTCCCGGTGATTATTGGCCGTGATAATGATCGAGTCGCTGCGAGTTGTCTATGGCGTGATTGCAGGTCGCGCCGTTGATCCTTAGGCCATGCGCGTTGCGAGGGTGGTTATTAAGAGCGACCGGTTCCATCTCGAGAAGAGCGCGGGGACCGGGTTTAGAAGAGAAACGCCAAGCCCGATTCGATTTTGAGATGCATCACTGACGGCGAATCTATGCAAAAAACGGGTCGGGAAAAAGTCGGGAACACTGAAATAATCGAGTCTGATAGTGGAATTCAGATGGATTCTGAACCTTTGTAAAATTGAATTGGATATCCAATGTTATGTTTGGATGAAACGGAAGATGTGCAAAAATTAATCAATAAGATTTTATTACATTAGGGAACCTTGCCCCCTGTAAAATTGCAAAACCGTAGGAGTAAATTTAACGGTTTTAACATCTCTCTATCTCGCTTCATTTATTAATTTGAGCTTTTCCTCTTTTTCTTTTCTTTCTTAAACTTGTTTTTAAAATTACAAAATTGATTCTTTTTGTGACCACGTACATATATACATGTATTTGTTTTTAATTTATCAGATTTTCTTGAATAGCACTTGTATTACAAGATTCATATTTTCCTACAAGTAGTAAATCTCTTTAAAAAATTAACAAATGTTTTATATATTACATTATATATATTGCTTCCTCATAGAGGAAGCTTTGTTTTCGTAACAAAATTTTTTTTCGAGTTTTCTATGCCAATGTGTTTAGAATGTTCCAAAACGTCGGAAAATCATATTCCTAAAAAATGTCTGTATGTATGTGTGTGTGTGTGTGTGTGTGTGTGTGTGTGTGTGTGTGTGTGTGTGTGTGTGTGTGTGTGTGTGTGTGTGTGTGTGTGTGTGTGTGTGTGTGTGTGTGTGTGTGTGTGTGTGTGTGTGTGTGTGTGTGTGTGTGTGTGTGTGTATATATATATATATATAGATTTATATTATCAAATATATAATCAAAAAATATATATGTCTTACTATTTTTTTCTATCTTGAAATATATCGTTTCTACTACTCAGTGATGATTTCGAGAGTGCCCGTATTCTTTATTTTGACGTGGATACTTAGCTCGACGTATTTACCCTCGAGAGACAAAGTAATGAGCCTGCAATTAGGCGCGAACGATTAAAACTGGGCCTTAATTGGCTGCAGTGAAACCTCCCAAGAGAGATTTGCACTCTTCATCCCTCCTCGCGCGTTCGTCTCTCTCGCTACTTCTCTCTTTCTTTCTTTCCCTTCGTCTCTATTCTCCTCGCTTCTTCTCACTAACCTCGTATAAGCGGCTAACGTTGAACGATAAATCATGTTAACTCACGTAAGTAGTAACTAGTAACCGATTCACGTTTGTACGACTCTCGTGAGATATTGGCTATTACGTGGAGTTATGGCAAGGATGGGCGACCGATTTCCACCCGTTAGCTAAGAAGTCGCGAATGATCCTAGATAGTCTCGCAAGCTTATCGGGAGTATATTTTGCAAACTATCTACCAAATTATATTATAAAAAAGACGACCGAATTAATGCAGAATAAAAAATATCTCTCATATTTAATAATGTTGATAAGTTTTTAACAAAATCTGACGTCGTAACTGCTAAGAGAGTATAATGACAGACTAGCTGTATCTTTTATCATATATAAAGGATGGAAAAATTTTCGTCTTTCAATCTATTGTTTTTCTTTTACAAGCGTGTCTGGTTATTAATCAACGGCTAGACATGCCCCAACCAGATTCATGCAAATATTTTCGAGCAAATGCCTATAATAATCTCAAGCTTTCCGGTTAGACAATTCCTTTCACTCCGTGTTTTTTGCATAAAATTGTGTTGTGCTCGACATTTTCTGTCACGCAAAGTTGTATTAACGCCACGGGCTATAAAACCTTAAAGACTATATTTAAATAGAAATAAATTATTGTTTTTTCTAGGAAATACTAACTTCTCCCATCTATTGCATACAACACACGTGACACACAAAACACGCACAGAAGAAACTTTTATACATTTATAAAGACATAATTTAAACTTTATTGTCTTGTTCAACTATTTAAATTTAAATCTCTTATAGCTAGTTTTGCTTCTGTCATAATCTTTAGTCGATTCCGTTACTTTGACATTTTATTTGCTATTTATTTGAGTGCTAATAACATAGTGTGTAGGTGTCCACCGTTTCTATCTCTCTCTCTTTCTCGTCTTCACCTACCACAAAATGTATCCTTAAATGGCTACGAGAATAACAACGTCTACTAACGCAATAATTTACGACGGACTAAAGTACCGCGAAGCGCTTTTATGCGAAGCAGGAAAGAGCGCCAGGCGACTCTCTCGGAGAGGAGGTAGAATAGAGGGTCCCGTAAATTACGCGCGTTTCGTCGCATTTTATTCGGGTCCCGTAAGAGTCGTGTCTCTGGGCAGGCCCCCGGGTTCAATCCCGGGTCGGTGATTATGAATTTCTGGGTCTGAATGATGGCGAGCCAGGACCGGCTAGGGCACGTCCCTGTGCGCGCCGTCCTTTTGCCGGGACGACGACGGCTGTGCCGGCGAGAAGGAGGACGGAATCGTCTTAAGCGCCAAATTGCACGTATGCTAAGTGGCCGCGATTCAAATTATTATTATCATCTCTCGGCCACGGGAATCGCCCTTCCGAGAATGATTACACGCGGCGGTCAGAGAGATGCGCCGCGTGTATCGTTTCGCTTTTGGGGGCCCTACGACGAGAGCCGTCCTTCCTTTCCTCATTTGAATGCGATTTGGACTGCCAGCGGTGCGCAGTCATATCTCTCGCGTCTCCCTTTGAATATAACGTAATCTTGCAAATAGATAAGTAAAAGCTCTGAGTGGAGAGATGAATAATGTAACAGCAGGATTAAACAATAAAAAAACGAATATTTTGGACAGTTTGTCATTGATAAAATAAAAAATATTAAGTCCATTTTAATGATGTGGACTTTGAATTGATCAAAGATCGTGCAAAATATTAGAATTTTCTTCATAAATCTTTATTTTATTCTTGTATTTGGTTTTTTAATATTTGTTTTATGGTTTCCATTTTTTTTTCATCTATAAAAGTAAAGATTAAAGTATTTATTTTAATCTGTAAAGCATTAAAATATTAATTAATTAATTATTATTTTATTTTAGCACGTCTCTAAATTATCTTATGTATATTTAATAAGCTAATATAATGCTTTTATTATACTTTTTATATTAAATTAAGTTTCCAGTAATATAGAAGAAATAGTAAACAATATAATATATTAAATACTAGATAACACAACTGTTAAAAAGCCAAGATGATATCAAAAAGACTGTCACGGTAAGATGAAAAGTATATGAGAACCTCTGTAGAAATGATAGAGTACAGAAAGCAATTCGTGCGCTCGAGTTCTCGATTGGAGGTGATTCTCGTAATACGTTATTAATTTGAATGCTTCGTGCGTGATGAATTATTTAACGGCGCGATTAGCCTAATGCATCATCGCGCGCCCATTCCTAAGTTTCTTGTTTCTTGCTCGTAAGCGCGAAATCATTTGTTCGTGATGCCGGGGACCACAAATACCTATATAGCTCTAAGCGGCTAATTCTTTTAATCGAGCGATTTAGCAGGGATAGCGAAAAGAAAATACCACGATTCTGCTCGAAAAAATATTTGCTTAATTATTTTTATCACGTCTCTAACATGATGATCGTGTCGTTTTGTCTGCATAGAAAATTCAAGAAAATCATACTTCAACGTAAAGTATTTTATTTTTTTTTGTATTCTACTTAAATCGCGCTAAATTTATTCAATTTTTCTAATATGTGAAAAGTACCATGGAAGTAGAATATAAAATTATTTTTATTATGCACAATTTAATCTTAGAAATTATTTTTTATACGACACAACATTTCAATTCCAAAGAGATAGGATTAGAATTCATTTTCTTTCTAATTGGCAAATATTATCATGTGTAGTTATCTGGAATTCTAAAAATGCGAGTTGCCAAATATTATCGAATAAACCGCAATAAGAACGTAAAATTAGCGAGGGGGCATCGTACCTCGGGGGGCACATTCCTGAAGACTGTGCAACGTATAATGTCCGATTTTGTGTAAGGTAAGGTCAATAGAAACTACGTCTATCCCCAGGGACTCGGGCAATGTATCCGTGCTTGTTTCCCCGACACCGATCATCGCACACCGACGGTAATTAGAGCTCATCGTTTGGCCCGCGGTGAGGATTTCGAAAAATTCCGAAACACAAACCAACCGAATTCGTCGAATCGACAGATGGCCCTCGACAGACGCACAGGAATTTCGTGGGTGGGTCCTCGCCCCGGGGACGCTTATCGGGGCACAAACTTAGGTCTAGAGATCACGGAGTTAGTCGCCGCGACGGTTGCCTTTCATTCCCCTTTTCTTCTTGCTGACTTTGAAGAAGCTCAGCTAATAATCAAGACATTTATTTTTCAGAAGGACAGAAGAGGGCCCATGATTTAATGTAAAATATATTATTGTTTTACAATGCAATTTTTCGCTTCGTATCTTCCATAATTCCTTTTCGAGAATTTATTTTTTTTCTTTTTTATACAGAAGTATAAAAGAAAAAAATTATATCTCGCATATAAATATCGTTATATATATATATATATATATTTTCTTAAGATGCAATTGCTTTCTAAGAAAAAAATTATTATATTTTTCCCTTTAGAACAAACTCATTCGTTCAATTCCGCAAAAACCGACGATCATAGATACATTAAAGAATTTTGACCTGTTCTAATCGCTAAATATGATATATTACAGCGGTAGTTTTTCCATAAATCGATAAAAATAAGCTCTTCTCTTAAGCGTCGAAATTGCTGATGTTCTCCATTAAACGATTCTCATTAAAACTTTCGGGACTGGAACGGTCTCATTCGCGATACTTCCATTTCACGGAAACTGGGCCCATAGAGCTCCGAATTCGGCGCCATAGGTAATACATGCGGGTGGATGATTGCATGATTACAGTTATTATGGGAAATTTATAAAAAGTCGATCGCATATATACGCCTTGGTATACGGATCCGCGCGCCGACGTAATTCCTCTCTTACGGGGGCCTAATCGGGCCGATTACCGGAACTTTTGAAAAACTGGCCCGAATAAAATTAGCGGCGGACCTTCTGATGGAACTTTGATGGGGTTCTTGAGGCATAGATTACCATCAATACAACCGGTTTAATAACGTAAATTTTATTGTTGTTTAAATTAGACGTGACATATTATAATCGTATCTACAAGAAAAGTACAAAGTTATAAGTTATATACTATATATATGTATAGTGCGTTATGCGGTAATACTCGAGTACGAGATAGCGAGAGACTTTTACTTCAGACGTTTACGAACTCGTTTGAATACATTGTGAGACGAGATGGGGAGATTACCGTTGTGGAATGCGGGGTTGAAGGAGGAGAATAAGAGTTCACAAAAAAATACAAAAATAAATGTGTGAATCGCCGAAAGCAGCCACGACAGAAGGCACGATAAATTGCTACATGGAAGCAAATGCTTGCGTTGAATTACAAATAATTGCTTTCGTTCTATTCCGTTTGCTCGCCATCGTTATTCTCTGATCTCTTCTGTCAATCATTGCAAAATGCATACGAAGCGGGAAGACAAACCTATTGAATAGCAAGATCTGAAACGCAAAACATGCAGAATCAATAAAAATTTTAAGTATAACATAAATGCACAAATATTCGCCAATATTACCCGGTTATCTATATCCATTATCTATATTCGTAAAGCTTTGGATTTCTGTAAGAACCATTTTAAAAATATTCGATAATATTGAACAGATTTAGAAACAATGAAATATTCGTGACAATTAGTTTTATAAAAAGATTTTGCATAAAAAAGAAAGTTTAAATTATTGTATAAATAATAATTAATTAATAACGAATTAATTAATAACGAATAATTGAATAATTAATTAATTCTAATCGCAATATCACATTCCATGCGATCTTGCGAATGATTGACTGTGAAAAATCATGAATTTATTTGGCGAGCGGTTAACTCTAACTTCCTTATCATTCACCCGTGTTCCCTTTATCGTATTTTGCTTTTAATATATCTTATAAATCACTTTTCCATTCTTTTCAAATACGTATGCAATCTTAAGATATGATTTGTCCGTACGCCAAAAATATATGCTAATAGAACAAAATGAAACTCTCTTAAGAGCGTCAATGTTGAAGTAGGAATAAAAATAAACTATGATATGATTGCGTGCATCGTTATCCGACAGATCAATGATAAAATCAAGGAATTAGCGAGTTCAATTGCCAACTATATATTTACAGAAACTGCGTCCCATCAAATTGCTATCATCTATAAGAAAAAATTGCTTTTAACAATTCGAAACAAGACATCTCTCTGTTTTAGTTTTGATGCTACTGCGAGCTTTGGCGATTGCAACAAGCAACTTAAATCTCTAATTGTTAGTCCTTACGACTTTATATTACTGAAGAATACTATCTTTCTTCGATTTGTGTAAACGTACTCACATGTCGCGACAAATCGCGTAATTCGACGCTCGGATAAACTCTCTCGATTTATATTAATTATCTTAATTCGTAAAAAATAGCGATTAATATGAGCGTACGTATATAATTTCTTCGCGAAAATGCGGATATATAAGTATATATCTATGTATACTAGAACGCATGTGTATATTTGGCTTGTGAGTCGATAATATGGAGATGGAAGTAGGAGCATTTATAAGTTGAACGTATGCGCGCGCAAATTACGCAAAAAAGCAACGTTTTTTTTAGTGAAACAAGAATAAAATAACAAATAGGACAATCTATCAAATGTCTCTATTTAAACGTTACGAAACAATGCAGATAACGTGATACTGAGCGAAAATAAAAGAGTATTCAATTAGAAATTAATACGTCCTTTTTGTACAGGAGCACGAATATCGTATTACTAAAATTTTCTTAACTTACCTTAACGTGTATTTACAATACAGGCATCTCTGATTATAACAAAATTATATTTAAGAAGGGGGGGAAGGGATATATCGCATCGCGGATTTGATAAGTACGCATGCGTGAAAAGAATATCTGTTGAAATCTGAAAACCTATCCCCACATTGTGTAAAAAGAAGATATTTCAAACTCGCGATATACAATTCTGCTTCGTATAGCTATAAAGCAGAATCGAATCGATTATTCGTCCACAGTCTTGTGATTCCCGGTATCAAATTCGTAATTATAAAAACAATGTTATCGATGTTTGTACGATAATGTGTCCAATCAACGTGTTTTCTACCCCCCTTCTAAGCTGAGTCTTCAACTTGTTAGGTTTTAATCGTTTGAATATTTAACCTTCGCAATACTTTGCTGCGAGTTAATGACGCTGTCACATAAATCAAAGAATAATTTTAATTGTGGTCATGGTTAAATTATGCGCTATTACATAGATACGCATTAGCTATGTTGATATCGCTCGAAACTGTTCATTTTGTTTTGTGTTCATAATGTCTGTCGAAAAACTCGAAAATCTAATATGAATCTTTTATGCGGTTGACTCAATATAAATCATACATCCAGACAACGCAGTTGAAGATGAATTATTGTGTCAAAATATTCTTTAAAAAAAGCGGAGAAATAAATAACAATGCGCGCGTTACCATGCTGGGTGTTTAAACAGGCGGTAAGGCCCAAAGGGTTGCGGTTTTATCAGCGGAAGTGCTGAGGAACGAAAATTCCGTCGGATGCCAACGTCCTGAGATGACTTTGTCTTGATGTTGAGCTACTACAACGCTAGGTAGAGGCATCGTAAGATCACCTGCAACATAGTTTAGGATATTTCTCTATTGACATGATTCTTACATTATTACTGTTACTGTCGGATATTTCAGCGTTGTAAAAAGCGTTTCGAAGAGAGATTAAAATTAAATGAGAGACCCACCTTGCAAATCTGTGAGTACCAGTTTGTTGTCGTATCCCGCTGTCAATAAGTAATAGGCTGACGGTGAGAATCGTATGCTCCTGATATCCGCTGCGTGAGGTTTGAAACACTGGACCGTCCTGCCACCGCGAATGTCAAAGAGAACGCAACTGCTATCCTCGTGGCCGGACACCAAAAGCCGACCAGATGGATCCACGCATAGCGCGGCTACGGGGCTGCCAACCTGCAGTGGAATCAGATGCTGATCAAACAAACAATACTGTTTCCAATCCCAGTATCGCTAAAATGTCCGATAAAAATCCGACCGAAAAGGAGTGACCAATGTTATGCAATCGGGAGAGATGATAGTGCGATTTAAAACTGTAAATCGGATATTTATCGGACTTAAAACTCAATACGAAACTAGTACAGAACAAAAAATGTTGGTGCGACGCATGCCGGATTTTAAATGACAGGAAAATTTATTTTCTAATTCTATTCATTCTAATTTTTATTTGAATGATCGTGTAGATTTTCGATCTATACGATTGATACATGTAGATAGACAAGTATAAAGTACGAAAACGGATAATAAAATAAACAATATTTTAATTAATATTTTTAATACGATCGACAAATTCATATAAAATTTTACTTTTCTCTTTAATCTTTCTGTACCAAAAATATATGATGTTTATTCCGTTCTCTGCCATCTACAGTTCGTAACAATCGGTAAAAAATCAAACGGGAATATCAACGGGCAAGCCAACTAACCCGACTACCAGGTACCGTCGCAGGTGTGACCATATTGACGCAGCCTCTTGTTCTCAAGTCCCAGAATCTGACTGTTTTATCCTGCGATCCGCTAACAAACATCGCTCCGCCCCAGTTGTAAAGTGTTAGCACATGGCCGCTGTGACCGCTTAAGGCTTGGAAAGGTGTGCCAGTCGTACAATCGGTAACGTAAATCTTGCAATCGCCAGCACCACCGCTGATCAGAAGACTCGATTTGTTCGACGTATCCTCGAGGAAGCACAGATCGCGCACTGTACCATCGTGCATAGTTAATTCGACTTCTTGTCCTGGAAATTAAATGAGCAAAAAATTATTTGGCGAGATAAAGAGGATATTAATTCTTTATAAATTATTTAGATCTGCTCAAGATATATACCTTCAAGGTTCGAAGTATCAGCGTTGAAACGCATCAATTTCACAGTCTTGTCGTTACTTCCGGTTGCCATCAATCGACCATCCGGTGTCCACGCAAGGCAATATATGGAACCCTTGTGATGCTTCGTTCTCTTGAAGAGAACAGTGGGTTGATACGTCTGATGATCCTCCCTTAAAGACACACACGATACCATTACTCTTAACGTCATTATGATTAGCACGCGGAATGATAAGTAGCAAGCATATTTCGTCGATTCGCAACGATATAAATCATTCGTCTGAAAAGGAGATTCTATTCCACTCGGGTCATTAATCTATCCAATGAAAAGAAAGAATGCTCGAGTTCTCGCAGGCATCACTTTCATCGAGCTGTTTTTTCTTCCTCGTTCCCAGCCCTCATCAGCCGCGTCATCTCTAATTGAAGTCGATATCACGGCATATTGTGCAGCGTCGGTCGTGGAAACGAGGGAGAGGTTCGACGATTTTATAGAGAGAGACGCACTGCCGCTTTCACGACACCGGTTTTTTACGTAGATTTTAATTAAGTACGGCTCTTTCTCATTGCGCGAGGCTGATGCATGTGAAATCATGTGGTATCTTACCTCCCTCCGCATCTGCCGATCAAAAGAGAGAGAGAGAGAGAAACGGAGAAAGAAAGATTCATCTGTAAAACCCCCTCGTTGTTAATTACTATTTGCTTCCTAGAATCTATTCAGCTCGAATATGATGCGCGAAATTAACGTCACTCCTGTTTGTCGCAATTTCCAGCAGGCGCCGGAGGAGAACGACTTTCGAAAGTGACGATACAATTATTCGCAAAGGCAGTTTCTCCGCGGACAATAACAACATAGTTGAAGATATTCGTATTAAGTGATAAGAATAATGGATTAAGTAATTTATGTCATACAATATTCGGGGGACACGTAATGATATTGAAAATTTCCTCCTGATATTTATAAGAAAATTTATAAAAAGAAGAATAGAATGTGTGTATTTTCGATCTATACGATTGATACATGTAGATAGACAAGTATAAAGTACGAAAACGGATAATAAAATAAACAATATTTTAATTAATATTTTTAATACGATCGACAAATTCATATAAAATTTTACTTTTCTCTTTAATCTTTCTGTACCAAAAATATATGATGTTTATTCCGTTCTCTGCCATCTACAGTTCGTAACAATCGGTAAAAAATCAAACGGGAATATCAACGGGCAAGCCAACTAACCCGACTACCAGGTACCGTCGCAGGTGTGACCATATTGACGCAGCCTCTTGTTCTCAAGTCCCAGAATCTGACTGTTTTATCCTGCGATCCGCTAACAAACATCGCTCCGCCCCAGTTGTAAAGTGTTAGCACATGGCCGCTGTGACCGCTTAAGGCTTGGAAAGGTGTGCCAGTCGTACAATCGGTAACGTAAATCTTGCAATCGCCAGCACCACCGCTGATCAGAAGACTCGATTTGTTCGACGTATCCTCGAGGAAGCACAGATCGCGCACTGTACCATCGTGCATAGTTAATTCGACTTCTTGTCCTGGAAATTAAATGAGCAAAAAATTATTTGGCGAGATAAAGAGGATATTAATTCTTTATAAATTATTTAGATCTGCTCAAGATATATACCTTCAAGGTTCGAAGTATCAGCGTTGAAACGCATCAATTTCACAGTCTTGTCGTTACTTCCGGTTGCCATCAATCGACCATCCGGTGTCCACGCAAGGCAATATATGGAACCCTTGTGATGCTTCGTTCTCTTGAAGAGAACAGTGGGTTGATACGTCTGATGATCCTCCCTTAAAGACACACACGATACCATTACTCTTAACGTCATTATGATTAGCACGCGGAATGATAAGTAGCAAGCATATTTCGTCGATTCGCAACGATATAAATCATTCGTCTGAAAAGGAGATTCTATTCCACTCGGGTCATTAATCTATCCAATGAAAAGAAAGAATGCTCGAGTTCTCGCAGGCATCACTTTCATCGAGCTGTTTTTTCTTCCTCGTTCCCAGCCCTCATCAGCCGCGTCATCTCTAATTGAAGTCGATATCACGGCATATTGTGCAGCGTCGGTCGTGGAAACGAGGGAGAGGTTCGACGATTTTATAGAGAGAGACGCACTGCCGCTTTCACGACACCGGTTTTTTACGTAGATTTTAATTAAGTACGGCTCTTTCTCATTGCGCGAGGCTGATGCATGTGAAATCATGTGGTATCTTACCTCCCTCCGCATCTGCCGATCAAAAGAGAGAGAGAGAGAGAAACGGAGAAAGAAAGATTCATCTGTAAAACCCCCTCGTTGTTAATTACTATTTGCTTCCTAGAATCTATTCAGCTCGAATATGATGCGCGAAATTAACGTCACTCCTGTTTGTCGCAATTTCCAGCAGGCGCCGGAGGAGAACGACTTTCGAAAGTGACGATACAATTATTCGCAAAGGCAGTTTCTCCGCGGACAATAACAACATAGTTGAAGATATTCGTATTAAGTGATAAGAATAATGGATTAAGTAATTTATGTCATACAATATTCGGGGGACACGTAATGATATTGAAAATTTCCTCCTGATATTTATAAGAAAATTTATAAAAAGAAGAATAGAATGTGTGTGTATGTATATGTTTGTGCCTCAAATCGCATAGATATAACAATTTTCTGAAATCGTATTTTTAATTGATTAAAATAATTATTTTATATAAATTAATCAATTAATTATAGTACACTATAGTAAAAGTGCTAATTAATTATGAAAAAAACTAGAAAATTCAGCTATTTGCAATAAATTTTATTTGTCTAATAAATCTCTTGTCGCTGATTTATTTTTGAGATATTCATATCTCGTTTAAAGATCAAGGAAGATGATTATCAAATTTCAAAAGATGGCATAAACTGCTATATCGCTAATTGTAAATAGAAATCTTGTGCTAGAGCACTTATCTATAACACTTGAGATAGTTACGTAATTCTTCATATTTTGAAAGTTGATGTGAAAGTTGCGCGAAAAAATCAATATGTCAATAAGATATAGAAAATTTTCGTGCTTACGTTTCAAGCGACAGATGCAGAGATGCACTCTCGCTTATCCATCAAATGATGTGTTATGTATATTCGTGCGTGCGCTCCTGTCATGTACGTACCTAATTTACCAGCGGCTCTAACGACTATCATTATTAGTTTTTATATCTTTTAACATTTCTGTTTCTCCATAACTCATAAGCTAGAGTATTTAATGAGCGATCCATGTATCCGTTCTACTTCATCTATAGTTAAACAAATATTTTTTTTCCGATGTCAATAGTTATAGTGTAATAGTATACTATTGACATATATACTGCTGACGAGATATTGCTTTGATGTGTAGTAGATGTATAATAAAATAGCAGATTTTTATCTGCTCTCTCGCACAGTATAATGACGTAAATATCATTAGGAATCTGCGGAAACTCAATTTCATCAAGCAATAGAATTCTAATTTAGTGATCTAAATAGAACAATCACGGAATCGCTTAACAATCAACTTTTCGTAAGCAACGCGTCGCTTATATTAGCGCTGATTTTTGCCCCTTTTGCAATAAAAAAAAAATGTCATGACATGAGAAACGATTTTCTGAGATCTCTAATAATTTTGCAATAATAAATGAATTTTACGAGCTGTTTACGCCTTATTGTTTGCGGTCTAAAATAAATTTACGAAAATACTTGAAAAATGATCTTTGTGTTTGGTGATATTCATATAGTACCAAATAATAATTTCGAAAGTACGCAACAGTTACGTAAGACGCGCGTAACGAGTTCATCGCGCGCTTTACACTTTCCGTTTAATTCGAATATAAATTTGCGCGTTCAAACTTTCTCGACACCGACAACAAGAGTCGTTTCGCGCAAATAAAGCAACATTGCAAACGTAGCGCCAGGTTACTTTGTTACGAACGGACAAATGGAAATTGCTGTGCGTGCGTTATTGACTTTGGACACAAATTACAGCTCGCTGAATTTACCGGAACACTATAATATGCCGTCAAACGAGCATTGCCGTGAATTCTAGACGCAATTCTGCGAATGAAAGGGGACTGTTTATTGTTCACCATGTAATGCAAAGCAGACATAATATATCTTGAATTAAAAGAAAATATTATCTTCAAAAAATGAAAGTACAGTTCCATCTCGTACGCTATTCATACGAACAGAGAATTTTTGCCTCTGTATTATTTTTAGAACTTTTACCTGGTTATTTATTCACACTTTCGATCACTTTATATTCTTCAGTTGTTATTACTATGAACCGCAAAGTAGCTAATTGCTTTTCATATTCCACGAATATCTCCATCATCTGCGATTCACATATCGCTCAACCATGCAATAAAAATTTCGTTTAATTTTTTAGATTGTATTCTGACAATTAAGAATCAAGTCGTATATAAAAATTATGAAGAATTATTGCTCTAAAAAATAGAGCAAAAAATAAAATACTGTAAATCGCGGACGATGTAAATAGAAATATGATGCAACGTGAAAATACTGTACCGGCAATTTCCACATTTGTAGGAATGCTCCGTTTGGCATAAAGGTCTCTGCCACTCATTAAGCCGGCATGTTTGAGTAAAATTAGTTTAGCAGACACAAACTTATACACGATCTTTCTCAAATTTGGTGAGAGAGCTTTTTTATTACGCGTGAGTTACAAAGTCTTGTCAATTACAATCAAAGTATTACGGTTCACATAATCAAAATTATTTTCAATGTTTTCTTAAGTAGCGTTAGTTTATACGTATTTTCTTTTCAAACTTCTTAAATAACTTCAGATTTTTTTAATAATTTGCAATTAATGAGATTTTGTTTCTTGTTAACCATTAATTATTTATTTAAAAAGCTAAAATACTATTGATAATATTTCCTGATTTATTTGATAATATTTATCAAATTATCTCATTCTGAAAAATGCTTCTTCATTGATCAAATATATATAAATCAACCTGTTCCCCACCAATGCAAGTTAGAAAGCCATTCAATGATAGCCTTAATAAAAATATCTTCAACACGTGTATTATTATATCTAAATATATTATTAGGCTTTATTAAAACTGTAACATTCATCTTAAATTATATAGCTCGCGTTAAGAAAGCAACGTAGAAGAACGCATTGGATTATTCACAATCTCTGTTCTAATTACTCCGAGCAGTAAAGTTACGTTGATATCATCGCACCGAGATGATAGATAAGCCCGAGTTTATTAAATAGCGTAACGCGTTCCGCTGTAAGAATCGTGATTTCTCTCGCGTTTCGTATATAATCTATTTTCGTATATCAAGGATCGAAAATATATTTGCGACGCATAAAAACAGCACCAAACTTGGCACTAAACCAGACTTATCGTTTCCTCAAACTTCACTCGCCAACGCGGAATCATTTTGTCATCGATGATTTTCTCCTCTATTTTCAATAACGATCGAATCAATCTTTAGTCGACTTATTATAACTTATGATTATTTTCGTCTCAGCGCCACTAAATGTATCACGACTCTCTCCTGCTTTTCGCGGAAGCGTGAATATAAATTCATCCGATTTCTCTCCCGGCTCGATGACGGAACCATAATATTTTCTATCGCCGCTTTTTCAATAATCGAATAACGCGACTCATTTATTATCTTTGCGTAAGACCACGGTAACGATACAGTAATACCGCATAATGAAATTTGTTGAGAAAGGCGTATTAAAGGCTATCATTAGTCATTTACATGGCTATCTCGAAATATCTTACATGCGCCATCGAAATATCGCACGTTTCATTCCGTTCTGGATGAAAGAGAAAAGGCAAGATTATCGCGTTACTTCCGCAGTTCACAATCGTAATTTATCGATTTTTTTAAACACTCGATTGCGAAAGCAGGTTCCACCTGCTATCGGATTTCCGTCGTCGATATAAAACGCATTTTGTAGAAAGTTTAATAATAATATTACGGACTCATTATTTAAATAGTGATTGTAAAATCACCTTATTTATCCATAAAATATTTAATTAGTAAGAAATTCGTGAAAGTGTAAAATTTCTAGATAATATCACACACAAATAATAACAAAAAACAACTGGAAACTATCGGATGTCATAAATAATATTAATATATAATTAAAATTTGAATTATAAATAACAATAAAAATAGAATTAAAGAAAAATTGTCTCCAAAAAAATTTATACATAAAAGGTAAAAGTACTTTTATATATTTAGAAAAAAGATATAAAAAACTACAATATAATATTTTGTATTCTAGCTGGTAGCTAAAAGTTCAAAAATTTATATACCCATAGAGATGTTTTTTTAAAGATTGTCAGATTGCATCATAGTTTTGATAATATTGTTTCAAATATTTTTTTAGGGCAAATGGTCTTTTCTAAAAACAAAGAAAAATTCGAAAAGTCAGACCCCAAAACCAAATCGATACTATTTAAAACTACAGGAATATAATGGAAATGATACATAAAAAAGAAAAAGATTAAAACGTATCTATAAACGTATATAAATGAACAACAAATGCACAAACTGTGCGCTTCTGATAAATAAAGCGATGAAACAAATTAAATCTATATCAGCTGTGATAAAACACTGCATTTAAATTTTGAAAAATAAATATATATCGATTTAAAAGGTCCTTATAAGATCCTGTCGCAATTTTTTTGGTATCTTTGTATCTACTTATAAAAATTCCTCGAATTTCTCGATTGGATATGTAAATAATATTATTCTCACCTGACATCGTGCAGTTTTGGGTAAGCGCATATCCGTAGCGTCTTCGAATTCGATCCCACGGCGTACAATTTTCCATGAGGGTGGAATTCGGCGCATCGAACTGCCTGCACGTCTTCCAGGGCAGTGACGGGAACGAATCGCGGCCTGCCGCCACCGTTGCTGCTTCCGTTGCTGGTGTCGAGTTCCGGTCTCGGCTCCTGCTGCAGAAACGGTACGCGCGTTCGTTACTCGATCTGGCATTAATACGTAATTATCATCGCGCGAGCGAGCACGCGCAACTAATAATATGCTTGCCGTTACAGAAAAAAACGCACGCGGAAAAGGTTGCTGTTTTTTAAACGAGATATCTAACGAATGCCTATACTGGTACAGAACACGTTGCTTCTATATTCGCGGAAGGGACATATCGCTGCAAGTTCCGGATGCGCTTCTATATCCGGCTGTGATGAACATAATATTCAAACAATATCATTGCATTTGATGCTCACACGCTCCTTGGATTATTTCCCATTCAATTGAAAGTGATAAAATTATACGGTGGCAGAATACAATACAATCTCGTACGCGTTAATTGCGAAGAGAGAGTAACCTTAAGATTAATCAAATATTCAGATAATCGTAAAACGAATAATATATACAATACAGCCGAACACAATAGAAGTATAGATAAATATCAAAAACCAACATTAATAAAAATTATTTAAATAACGATCCGTTTTTACGAGAGTAATTTCGTATTTTTTTTTAATCGTTTTAATTACATTCACTTTAATAGCTATATAACAGCTAGCAGTCATGTTTTCATTTCATTCTTTTCGCCGCTGCTAATTCTTCTTTTAAATTAATTAATATGCCTTATATGGAGATATGTTTTATGTATCAAGAAATTTCACTTTCTCGCTTCGCTTCAAGATGGAAAGATGAGCTCTTCATCTTGTTGCGAGACAGTTTATTACTCCCAAAGTCGCCAAACCAGCTCGCACACGTTACGCACAGTGAACCGAACAAAAAGCGAAAAACTCAGAAACGCTAGAAAGTTCGATTTCAAGTAAATTTCTCGCCGGATTCTGCATAGCAGTTTGTTTTAATTTCACAATATTCATGAAATAATCATCAAAAACTCGTAAATGAAAACAATAATAGAATTTTCTCCTCTTCAAATTCTTCGTTTATTACAAAAGCATGTGCATAAAATAAAGAATGAATCCATCAGTTTAAACTGATTTTTATTTAAAAAAAAGGACGTAAAAAGAAGAGATGAAATTAAATTCACGCCGATAATTTTATACTCATTGTCAGTCATTTTCCCCGTGTAATAATAATGATAATAATTCTGCTCCAACATCAAAGTCGAACAATAGTTAGGAGTTACTTGAACATATGCACGGCATGTCTATAGAAAAAGCTGACAATGCTTCTTGCCGCATTTTTGGTTTTTTTTTTTTTCTGACACTGCAGATCTGGAATTGTTTCGCGATTTGCGCAACGACGCGCTTCGCCACGCTTTTACTTTCAAGCCGAGATTGGCGGCAACCGTTTATCTAGATGGATAAATTAGCAAAGCAAATGCACACTCTATCCGTTGTTGTTCTCTTCTTGGCAAACCGTGCGGCACGAGCGGAATTATGAGCGCACGCATTTTCACGCGCCGACATGTATCTAACGGTGCCAAAGCCGTTTCTTGCCAATTGGTAATGGACTTACGCACACGCAATTAGATCTCATTGTCAGATACCACGCATCGGATTCTTAAAAAGATAAGAAATATAAAGAAGCTACGAAATGATGAAAGATTGAGCGTAATTGTTGTTTATATAATTAAACAAGAATATTTTAACCAGAGTAATTACATCCATAATTATTTGCTGATGTTTGTAAACATAAATATTACACGTGAGGAATTCTTCGGAATGTTAATATAGTAGCTGAAAAAATGGAGAGAAAATAATGACATGAGAGATTGCATTAGAAATATCACCTGTTTCACAATCCACTTTCAGTATCGTGTTAATAATCGATATATGATTCATTGATTTTCTTCGATAACAATTTTTTGCCTCAGTGAGTCAATACCGGAACAATAGCTGAACAGAATTGAAATATGTATTAAACTCGATTTTTAATTATAATTTCACTCTTGCTAACTCATTCCCTTTCACCTCAGTTCTACTCATTCTGTGCTGTTTGTTAAGAAGCAATTCATTCCTATGACCAATCGTTGTACTTTCTCTAGAGCATCCGACTCTAATCCGATCCAGCCCTCGGTCCTATTCATCGGTCGTCGCCGACATTATTATTGTAACGTGAAAAGGGAAACGGCGAATAATCGCGCGAATAATGCACGATAGCTTTTTTACGAGCGGACGATGCGATTTACGAGTGAGAATCGGGCCATGAAGGAGAATCGATTGTAGAGATCCGCGAGAGAATACCGATTTCGCGGAAATTCTCGCATTCTTCCGGACGATTTAACGAAGCGGAAACGATTCTCGATTGTAGGTCTGCCGAGAAAAGCGGATGAAATATCGGGAGAGATGCAGCCGAAGCCTAGTTTCGCGATCGGTCAATCAACCCATCGTCGACTATCGTTATGGATGTTCGATATTAATAGCTCCGTATGCGATCTTGCGAAAGCGTCTGCTAGCGATGATATACACAGGATAGACACACGGACAGACACTTTGAGATAAAAGGGGGACGAGGATGACGCAAATCTTGTTTCGAGCGCCGCATTATTTTGCATGCAATTAATTGACCACTTGTATATTAATGATATTACTGGGAAATGAAACTTCCGTCTACCGCAATAAAGCGTAATCATTGCAATAAAATTGCAATAAAATTTCGGAACAAATGTGTTTGCAATTAATACATCTAGCAATAATAATATAACAAAATATTAAACATTATATTTAAGTATTATACATATTAAATAAT